AACAAGCAATTTAGTTTTATTTGTTTTATGTACAGAATTTTTTTTTATTTCTTTAATATTGCACACAAACCATAATGAAAATTTTGCAATTAACTGAGCAGACATTACAAATATTGAGGAGTCAGAAGAGGGACAAAATTAATTTTTTTTTAAATTTATTTTTCCATGTAAAATTCACAAGAGAATACTATTAATTTAGGAAAGTGTGTGTGTACATTATATATATATATATATATATATATATATATATATATATATATATATATTCCCATTACTTGATATTTTATCTGATGCCTATAAGTCTATAAAGAAATGCTCAGATAAAATAAATAAATTTATTTAGATTGCAAAATTTGTCTTAATACAAAAAGTACTCATTAGTGCATTTTTCTGAACTTTTGCCAAAAATTCTTTTCACAAATTTTTTATTACAAATATCAAGTCAACAAACAGAATAGTGGTTTCCGGTCATTTTAATATAGTATCAGTCATAACTAATATCGTTGTAAATTAGTCAACAACTGTCATGACCACAAAAACTATGAAATAAAGCTAAAAGTAGGCTAAACAGATACAAAAAAAATTATTAAAATTTCAACAGCTTTAGATATTTTTTTTTTATTTAAAACTGCTGAAAATCTAGAGCCTATAAATTTAAAAAATAAAAATTAAGTTACAAAATAGTTATGCATAAAATTGATAATTGCTATTTGGCAGCTTATAAGATAAAAAATTAAAGCAGACTGTATTAAATGTACTGGTATTACAAATTGGTGGTTGATCACAAAAAGTATTTAAATGTTTTAAGTGAGCTGTCATATATATTGGCAAGAGTGAAGTAGATTTGTAAAACACATTTTATAGACAAGCAAATAGTATACATTTTCTGGATCTTTAGAAGTTAAAGTATTTTTTTTTAAAATCTGTTATGCCATCACATGTTATGCAATATAATTTTCATCTTAAAGACTGCCAAACATAGCAATTATCAATTTCATGCATAACTCTTTTGTGATTATGAAGATTTGGTAAAGTAAATGGTGAAAAAGTCAAGAAAGGAAGCACAGAATGAGAAAGCATTTAAAGATCATTAATAAAAGAAAAACTGAAACTGTTTTATATGTGAAAACAAAAATTAGTGTTCTTAAAATTATATGTAAGACACAGATCAGAAACAGAAATGGGTACAAGTATTAATATCTTTCAAACGGTTCAAATATTTTGATCAGCAGTTTCAAAGTTCTGGAATTGATCACTACTTGAATTTTACCTGTGTTGACATGAGGGTTTCACTATAGTAGGAAAAGATAGGAAGTACTTAAAGGAATTTGTATAACTCAAAATGCATTAAGAGCAGGTCACCAGGAGTAGAAATATCTCTGAATGTTCTTTCAAAGTAATGACAACTATATATTGTGAATAATAAAAGTTAGATATTGATTAGCAAAGTATTAACATTCACTGTGTATACAGACTACCCTGTAAAATTGATAGGTGGAATTAAAATATAGAAATAGGTAGATTAAAAACACAGGCACACAAGTCAACAATGAAAAATACAAATTTGTCATTATTTTAATGAAAACAACCTTGATAGATATATATAGTTTGGGAAATGAAAACTTGGCAGTTATAGTGTATCAGAAAAGTGTTAATTTTACCCATATACCAAACTTTGGGATTTATATTAATTCGTTTTTTTATGATTTATCAACTACTTGCAGGTTATTTAAAGTTAGAAATTATTTTTAGATTGTAAGAATTTGTTTGGAGGTGATTTACTGATACAAGTCCTTCTAATCAACCTATAGCTGGGGGAGAAGAGATGGATAAATACCTTTCCCAAGGTATTTACACGTAAGAGAATATGATGAACCCAAATAGATTTGGAACTCGGCACTCCTATTTCCAATTCCGAGCAGTCATCCATTACACCACCCACACATCCAAGCAATCAACCATCTAGGTACTGACAAGATTTTATGTTGCTTAACTTCATTGATCATACAAGAACCTGTGTTTCAACGTGATCACGCCAACAAACTTTAGTCTCCCCCCTCCCCACCACCTATATACAGACAAGCAAAGAGTAAGAAATTACAAAACCAATCAAAAAAAAGAAAAAGAAAAAAGATTGTTATACTGAATGAAAGATTAAGACTCCAAAGAAAGCTTCAAGTCAAATTTTATACGAGCTTAACACAGCACTTGAATGAGGAGCTGGATGAATTATTAATACAAATTTACAATATTTCCTGAAAGTAAATGAATCAATTTATTCACTCCACAAATTTAAAAAAATTGAATTCAGAAAATATTTTGTTATAAACAATTATCTAAAAGCAATAATTTTTTCTTGTTTATTTCAATCTGATGGAAAACAAGCAAAAAATTTATCTAAGTCATGGGCAAATAAAAAAGCACATTAATCTGAAACACTATTCTTTACAGCAATGTCGTCGTACTAATTCCATTTGTAGGTTATCTAATATTTTTGTAAGACATTACTCTTTCAATCTTGAAAAGAGTAAAAGTACTTAAGACTGTAAGAATGAAAAACAAACAAATATTGGAATAAACAGAAATACTTTTAGTAGAGTGATATTAAGAAAAAGAGCCACCAAAGAATTTTAGTTTTTATTTATATTTGAACCAGTCTTGCAGTGAGCTATACAAATAAATGATGGTTTTGTTCTAATGTTACAAACATGGTGGATACAGAGTTTTAGAAATTGTTACAAAAAGAAAGGTTACATAGAAGACAGGGTTTATTTATGGCCTTAAATATCAGTCCATGGAAAAAAAATAGGTCAATTTTTTAAAGTTTTAACTTTTATGAAAATGACAATAGCAAAATAAAAATAAAATCTCCAACTAAATGTTCACTAAACATGTTCAAATTTTGACAAACTGTCATATCATTACCAAAAATAAAGAGTACTGTTTAAGGTTAATGCTAAAAAGAAAAGTTTCCAGCATTATAACAAGCTTAAAAAACCCAACCCAGATAACCAGTTAGAAACAAAACCTGTTTAAGCTCAAATAAAGCACTTATAGAATGATAATAATCTGAGAGGTTTGATAAATAAAAAAAAAAAAATTAAAGACATAATATTGAAAAGCCAGTAAGAACATATGTGACAAAGAAAGATATAAGTAATAGACTACAAAAAAAAAATGTGTAAAGCCACTTCAGACTTATATTCCATCTCTTAACTGACTTCATAGAAAATTTTTATCAACATATATAAATCCAGTTTCAGTTATAACTATATCAATAGTAAAGAAAAATATATTACCAGATTCTATAAATTTCTTTTCTTTTTTGTTTCAGTGGGGGGGGGGATAATCACTTAAAGTAAACTTTACAAAATTTAGAAAGTGTTAACAGACAGAAGTTTCAGACATTTCATTTATTTACCAAACATGAACAGCAAAGTATAAAAAGAGTTCATTTTATATTATTTTCAGACATTATCAAATCAAGAAGCAAGTAGAAATTTAAAAAAAAAAAAAAAAAATGTTCCCCTAACAAAAAAAAATTGTGAAAATAAATTTGAATATGTATTTGGGACAATTTTTCCAAATTACTTTTTATTTATTTATTGATCTGCTATAAAGAACCAGTGTGGGTAAATTATACATATACAGAAACACATACATACATACATACATACATACACAAAAGCCTGAGAAACACCAGCTGTAGAATGAGAGTCAGAATGCTAGTCAAAGAGGTGATTGCCTATAAACCAGTTCTTTATTAATCTGTTTTTACACCTTAGTTGGTTTTGTTCAACATAACTAAAGCCTTGAACCTCATTTTTAAATGAAAATATCACTAAAACAAAAAAAAAAAAACAACCTCAAATTGTTACATAGATAGTTAACACCTTTGTAAATCTTATTTAAGTATGGAAAATTTAAAGAGTGAAGATTTCTATAAATTTTATACTCTTCCTGTAAAATCACAAATAGAAATAATAAAAATTTAAAAGTGCGTTTCTTTTGTGAAGTCCATCAAATGTTCATAGCTTTACTACTTAAAGAACAGGCATAAAGTAAATATCTTAGCAAAAAGAACTAAATATTTTATTATTAATTTAACTCCTATTCTTCTGGTTCTAATGCCTTTTTTTCCATTTGTGAGCATTTTGCTTGAAGTTTATATTATCTATATTTCAGATGAAAACTTAGAAATTTTCAAATATATTTCAGTGAAATTTTCACTTTTCAAAACTATAATTTATTATTATAGTTTAGATATATGGAAACAAAAAATGTCAGTTTAAACTGACAGCAAGAGGATATTGGTTAAGTAAACCCTCAATTTAATTGACTGAGTATATGTCATTTTAATAACTAATGGTCATTATCTCACATAATGGTTATTAATAAAATAAGTATAAATTTCATTAATAGAATAATTATAAAATAGCTTTCATCTTTATTTTACAATAACTGAGTGATCACCAAAGTTAAGCAGTGTCAACCCCAGTTAGTACTTAGATGGGTTCTATTTTGGAACACCATGTACTGTAAGAGACCTACAATCCAAAATAGGTTTTGATTTTAAATAAGACCCCCTCAGCCCTCCAATCAATCAATAACCAATTGTTTTTAATAGAACCTAAAATAAATCTTAGAACATGGTTTGGCATAGATTTCTTAAAAATCTATAAAAGGTCATGAATCACTGATTGAACTATAGTCATAAAAGTTAGTAAATATGTAATATTTGCTAATTTTATATTCTATGTTCTTGTATAATGTACTAAAGCCTTTTTTTTATTCCTCCCACCACAAAAAATAAAATAAATTTAAAAAAAAAAAAAAAATCCTGAGTTACAAACAAGACCCTACAAATTTGTTAAATCAAGAGTTTAATACAAATGAATTATCATGACTGAGATCTAACACCAAATGACAATTTAATCTATATTTAAAAAAAAAAAAAAAAATGAATGAGAAAGAAAGATAAGAAAAAATTTAATGCTTACCCGTTCATATCCACCAAGCTTATTTGCATTTTTATAAAATGAAAACAGGTCAACTAGAAAAAAAAAAAAAAATTATACAAAAATTAAATGCATATCAAATTGATAAAGAAAATATTTAATCTTCATAAAGAGATTTTAAGAAAGTATATAAGTACTACTGATTATATTTGGGTAGTTTTAAGTGTGTACAAAAGTTTCCATTGAAAAACTTTCCAGTTAGGTATTCAACCTAGTTTAAAAAAAAAAAAAATAGAAAAATAAAAAAAAAAATAAAAGCAACCTCTGAACTTTTAATTTATAATGTCATGACTACAACCAAAAGTCAAAAGAAAGAGGAAATTGTGAGTAAGCAAGTATTATTTTAAAATATTTCTGAAAAGATAAAATGTTCCACTCCTTGTTTTCTGTTGATAATTCTTTTTCAAACTTAACATGGATTAAAATTAAAGCAAATATTCCTTCTCAACATTAGATGAAAGTCTTTATAGATTAGAGAATCCTATCAATCTCCACATTATCAGTCTTAATTTGCCAATAAGTGAATATTTACCAATCAAAATGTTAATTCAGAAGACAGCATTTATCAGCCTCCCACAAAGGTAAATATAACAAGGTTGGTTTAATGTACACCCACCCTGCACACGGACATACATATGGGTAGAAGCAGAAATTGCCTAGTCCATGTAGTCTATACCAACCGTAAACCATGACCCTCTTCTTTAGTGTAATGAGCAAGTTCTAATGAGGAATTGTAGTTTCCAGAGACATGCTTCAGTGTTGTAATTCAGACAATAATTAACTTGCTACAATTTTTGAAAAATCATTCCCGTCACCAACAAAATGGTGGTGTTGAAAAGAAAAATAAATCATTTTTTTAAATTTAGGATTGAGAAGATGAATTATTTGGGTGGAAAAAAAAAATTCCACTTTTGCTAATCAGTTAACATTAAATTAGTAAAAAGTTATAACAGGAGAAAGAGACAACAAAATAAAATATACATATGTAAAACTAATTCAACAGAAGTATGCAATTTAAATCTACTTCTAAAGAATTAATGGATTTTAATTTTTAATCTGTTATATTTATATTACTGCACACTTGAAAAAACTCATTAAAGAAAAAAGGTGTGAACATTTTCTTTAACGAGTTTTCTCAAGTGTGCAAGCCAGTAGACAAAATAAATATTGTTTAAAATAAAACGGAGGATCTACTCAAATACGGGCATCCACTAAAAATAACATTTGAAGTAATAAAAATTAAATCAATAAAATTTTGAACACAAAATAATTATAGTCATTAACTTGGTACGATACATATAAAAAAAAATTATATCAAAAGTTATACTGATCAACCACAATGGTTGACTGAATAACATTTGCAAATCAACTCACTTGTTTTAAATCCAAGAGAAGGAATTCGTTCTATTGGTGTATTTTGTTTCTTCATGAAATTATAGAGTGTAGAAAGAAATTCCTGCTCATCACGAAGAAGGGAATCATTGTTGTATCCATTAACTGTGTCCTCTGTATAATCCTGTACAAAGACACAATGAAAGAAAGAATACAAAAATTGTTAATACCTTTATAACTAAATATTTCATATGATCTTTCATGACTTTCTTCAAACTGTAACCTTGAACTAGTCTCATTGTTAAAAATCAATAAACAAATAAAAAAGTTAATTTTATCTATTTTTTTTTTTTATTATCTATTTTATGCCAGATGTTATTCTTTTTGTATGGTGTCCATATTTACCTTGCTAATTACTGACTGGAGAAATGAAAACACTAGAAAATATAATGTTCTATACAAAAAAATACTTATAAAATCTAACAAAAGGCTTTTTTTTTTTTTTCTTTTTTACATCATACACAATGACTGGGGAATCAATTGAATAGAATTATTTTCATGAATAAATATCTGCTAGATAGTATTGGGAGAGTAAAAACTCAAAAATTCTAGGTAGTGTTAGTGAGAATCAATCTCTTACCTAACAAGACTTGTAAGGTTGTAATCATAAGATTACAAATTAACTGTGGTAAGAGAGGAAATGTTTTAGTTAAAACACAGACATGACAAAAGAATATTAGTTAAACCATTCTCAGTGTTCTGGTAGGAGTTACTTGGCAACAATCAAGATTTAATAATAGATGCATCCTCAAATTTTGGATAGCAAATAACTTAAATTTGGTAAAGTGCCATAAAGATTTATTTAAGATAAAATAAGACTCATATTGGCCTGAACTATATACAAAGTTTCCATTTTAAATGCAGAAAATTATATGCATTTACTTTGATTTTTCAGTCATTCAAATAATTTTTTTCTGAATATATTGAAAGGTTTTCTTTAAAAATGCTTTAAAATCTTTTGTTAATAACAGATAACAAATTTGTGCTTCTTTATACCATTTAAATATTTTTAAAAAATATTTTGAAAGTTAATTGGAAAAGGAAAAAGGATTTTGGCCCAATAACTCACAGGATTTACTTACAGTGAGATTTTTTTTTTTTTTTAATATAGCTATAACTTAAAAAGGTTAAAATCCAAAACATTACAGGTATTTATTAAGTAAATTGTTAGAATAGTAGTTCCCAACCATTTTTTTTTTCTCTGGACCACATTTTCAGAATTAAAATTTGCTCATGCCTCACCAAATTTTATGTGATAAAAAAGTACATTTAAGAATAAAAAAAAATGAGAGACGGTTAAAAGATAAACGTGGATTCAAAGTCAGAACATTATCATTGGTAACTCTCTCCTCCAATTTACAGACCCTAGTTACTACATTTTTTATACATGACATAATGCAAAATATCGCAATAATAAAATTAGTCAATAATTATTTATAACTATTTAAAATTGGGCTCATGCATGCAATTACAAGTAATCCATAATAATATTTTAAATTTTGAAATCATTTATTTTTGGCACATGAATTTTTTGAAACTGTTTCTAAATCTTTGATTGTTTTTCAATCATTCCACCTCACCTGCTATCCTCTTCCGCCATACCTATGATATGCATGTCACCATTTGGGAACCACTATGTTTGAGAATGGTATGGTCTATAGTGAGCCATGTAAATATTCAGATTAAAACTAAATAATATTACAAATTATTTGGACAATTTTAAATTAAATGAGATAGTAGACTATCAAATTACTAGCAGATGTTTTGCTATTTTTTAAAATAAACTTGAAACAAAGAAATTGAACAAAGACTGTTTTTTATAATTTCAGATAAGAAATTGTTGACCCATATTAAATTTAATTTTCTAACTAAAGAAATTAAAAAAAAAAAAAAAAAAAAAAGTCTGAAATAATAATTAAGCATATTTAAAATCCAGCACTGGAACTAATTCAGAAATTCTTTAAGAGGTTTAATGCAAAAATTAAACATATGGATTTGTAATAGGTACAAGTGTAATTCTACCAATAAATCTCATTGTTACTTATTAGTATCAGCTGCTTCATTTTCTCATCTTACCTGTTAATGATTGTGGTTGTGAATGTCAGTGAAATGAAAATGAGTTCCAGGTGGTAATTATTGATTTATAGTAACAATTCACAGTATAACACACCATAGGAATTTGACATGAGAAAATAAAAAAAAATATAAACATTTCAATAATTATCTATTAATTCTTAATTTGTACCATGGAGTATTTTTGTATGATGTCATACTGACAAAATATCTCATCAGCCACTACAGAACAATATTTGCTTTTACTACCTTTTTACTATCAATGAACTGTTTGGAATCACTGATTCACTGCCAGTATAAGAAGACCACAGACAAAAGTTTCTTTTGATTTCTTCAAACAAGGATATAAGACACACTAAAACACAAAGGGGTTACGGAGAGTGAAAGAAACAGAGAGGGCAACATTTGTCAACAAGAAAAATTAACTATAACATTTCCAGACCAAAATAATCTTTTGAATCAGAGATCGGAAATTATGACCAGTTGTATACACACTCAAAAGTTCCTTTTGAGTTTATTTGAAGTGGGATGAAAAGAATGTATGTACATTTCATGTAATCCCTCACCAATACATTTCCAATACACTTGATTTCCCCCACCTCTTCACTTTCTACCACACCTCATGTCTTGCGCTTATTTACTTATTTAAAAAGATAAGTGTTCATAATTTTTTTATTTTTAAATAAAGAAAGTGTTAGGAAATCAATTCACAGAAATCACCTGAAGATACCAAAAGGTTGAAACCAAGGTAGTGGAATTGGCTGATATCCTAATTTTCTATACTTAAAAGCTCTACATGTTAAATTTGCATCTTTTATATGTGTATTGAATAATTTTTAATACTACTGTTACCTGGTCTAATTCAACTTTGACCATTAATAATAATTAACATTATATATATATATATATATATATATATATATATATATATATATTATAAACACGTTTTTATGTGGAGTCTTCTTGAAACTCAAAGTGAAATAGACTACTTACTAAATGTTGATATTCTTAAAATCTAAAATTCACTGAACTTCTATACTAAGTGATTATTCTAATTCCTGGATTAAATGAACTGAACAGATAACAATAGAGATTTGTTTAAAAGATATTTTCTAAAGCTGAAGAGAAAAAGACTATTTAGTTAATAGAAGACAAAAAATATTTTAAACATGTCCCTATTATGAAAAGGGTGTTGGTTATGGCTTTGAAATAAAAATATTGTGAAATCTTCTGGTAGATGTTCAATACTGTTAATGTATTATTAGGAACTTAAAAAGAATGTACTGAGATACAGATAAAATTCTATTTAATGTTTTAACTATTCCAAAAAATAATATACTGTTAAATCTCTCTGGAAATATATAACACTGCTAGAATTGTTTAAAGAATGTCATCAGTGGGATATAAAAAGAAAAAGTTCTAAATCTTTTAGAAATAGAGTAATTCTCTCTCCCTCCACTAAGATTCTTAGCTACTTTAACTTTTAGTGTTATTCCATACATCAAAAACTTGATACTTCTGAGAAAATAGTATGTCAAGTAAGTATGTAGGAAAGTTGTAAGTAAAGCCAAATATTTTGAATCTATCATTCAGTTTAATAAGATGACTAGAAGAATTTCCATGGGAGTTCACTGTTAAGCCTACTTTCAATGATCTCTTTCTCATCTATGCACCCAATGCTTTTCTTTCACTCTTGAACACTGTATCACATTTAAATACAAACAGGAAATATCATTGCATTGATAAAAGACACACACACACTCCTTATCACAAACTAGAAACAATAAAAAGATTAAAACTTTCTTTTACTGACAAAATATTCTTTTACCGATTCAAATATTACAGTGTAAGCTGATAAAAAAAAAAAAAAAAAAAAGCACTTATTAAAGCAAATTCTTCTTTTCAAATAAACATAAAAAAATACAAGTAAAAGCTAAAAATTAAATTCAATTTTGGTATGAAATTAAAATTTTGTCTTAATACGAAAGTTAAAATGATTTTCAAGAATCATTACCAAGATTTTTTTTTTTTTCACATTTCAATATTTACTTTTAAACAAATTTATAACACTAGACATTTACACTATTTACATCATTCAGACTGTTGTCCTCATCTTTATTGCCATATTCATGATGCTCTGATCTTCAGGCAATATACGTTGGAATTTCAAACAGAACATTTTATTTAATCCACGAGGTTAGATGGTTCAAGTTCCATGTGCCATGCTTTTTTTGAATATCACAATATCAGTTAATTCCCTTTAGTAATTTAATTTTTCAAGTTTTTGTTCTCTCTGCTGTCGCCAGGTATTGAACTCACAACTCCGAGTCAAGTCACTTTCTGGATTACTCAACCACTGCTTCAATGAGTGTATTTTTGGAACTTATAAACCTAATGTCTCAGTTTTTCATTTTTTACCAGAGCTCATATTACAATTTCTGTTATTGCTGTTTTTCTCTAGCTTTCTGTATTACTGGTTCCCGTATTGTATTTATGTCTATGCTATACTTTAGATATTTTCAAATCAGTTTATAATTTTAAGCTTCACAAAACCATTATTTTAAATGCAATCTTGGACTTCAACTTTCATGATCTACTTCCACTGATCATTTGATATTCTGGAGAAAAAGAAAACAGATTTTTTTTGATTTCTTGGAGATTGGAATATTTTTGTTTCCTTGCAAAATTTAAATTTCCCCATGAATATTTGCATAATAAACAACACAGACCAAGGAAAAAAAATGGTTAAAACTACTGATGTCCATTCAGTTTTAACTGGATTTCACACCTGGTTATGATCAAAGATGTTTAATTACACATGTTGCACATGGAGTACATTTAATTATAAAATAATCTTGTATCATTAAAGAAATAAATTCAGAAGTGTTCCTCAGAATATTGGAAAATCTGCTACCCCTCAAAAAGCATAAAATGAATAAAAATAATGGGTAGTTATTTTGGACTACCTTGATTTTGTTATTTGACTTGTGCTGCTTTGGAGGCAGGCTCTCTCCTGGAGAATCCTCATTGCTGTCAGATGAAAGGGATGCACCTTTCTTTAATTTTTGCTTCTTTTTTCTGGGCCTTCCTTTCAAATTTGGAGCTAAAAAAAAAAAAAAAAAAAAAAAAATCAAAAAAAAAAAATCACATCAGCAAAATTAAGTATTCAAGATGTACCAAGTTATTAAAATACTGCATTGATCAAGGCTACAAGAAAGTCTAACAGCTCTGGAAAAAAAAAAAATTAAAATCAGATTCAAACCATTTTTAAATCTGAAGGGAGAAATTCTCACGTAATAAGCAATTTTCAGGTTTTAATTCTTTTAGAAGAAAATTAAATTCTACAGTGATACTTGGTACAAGCAGTAAACTTAAAAACCTTAAAACCTAAAAAAAGTGAGAAAACTTTTCAATATTCAAGTTATGGCATACCATACAATTTCTTATATATACAAGAAACCAACAAGTACACTGTATCAAATATCTTAAACCTGAAGAGTATTTGCTGATGTCAATCCTATTTAAAGAGGGAGAGACCAAGGGAAAAAATAAAAATAAAAAAAACTTACCCAAATATTCACAGCAAATGTCCAGATTAGCCAAATCTGGATCATTGAAGGTGTCCCTGCAGAACATGATCCGCCCATGACGAGTTTTCATCATGATACCACCACAGGCAGCCACAAAGACATTCTTAAAAAATTTCTCTTTGACATTCTCACATCTTCTAGAGATTGCCCGATAACGGCAGTAAATTGAATAACTCACAATTTTCACCTCTGTATTAACTGGCTCAGTTTCTAAAGAGAAAAGAAAAATACTGCATTTCATAAAATTTTGAAATTAAAATAAAAATGGCATAAAATGCATTAGTAAATATTTAAAATTATATCCAATGAATTTTAAACAGTTCCTATGTTGAAGAAAACAAGAAAGCTAAATGTTTAGTTTTGGTTATTAAGACCTCAAAGTAAACATTAACCTCTGTAAAAGTGATTAGCTAACCTGAATTTTTAAAAAATATAAACACTTACAAAGAAAAACTTTTAAGTCACTATAATATCCTCCTCCTCCAATTGATTTAGGAAGGAGGACATTTTTCAAACTGTCATTCTTCCTTGACTTGTGGAAAACTGCTGCAAATTGGTTACAACAAAACAATCTTTTGAAATATAAAAACAATCCAAACCGTTTTCTGTTTTTTTTAAAAAATACTTAAAAGAATTTGTGGAATGACAATGCATTTCAAAATTTATATATTCATATAAATAAATATCATTTTTAATTATAATAATAATAAATTATTTCCTATATCTTTTCGAGTTACCTTATAATCTTACTTAAATTATGATAATTTTTAATAAAACATCATCTGCCTTTACTGTATTGATAGATATTGACACAATTTCTTCTACTATTAAAGCAAAGATTTACCTTTTCATGTTGAGTATTATTCACCATTAAATCTTAAGTACACTGAATGCACTTTAAATTAAAGCATTTCAAAAATTTATTACAAACAAGCTGTTTTGTAGCCTGTGAAACAAACCGTCTTTATTCACTAATGATTACGCATGTAGTCACATAGTAAATAGAAAGCACATCAAATCTAATGATTGTTTCTCCCTAGGGGAATGCATATTTGAATCCTGCTAGAGAGCACATATTTTTCTTTAACAAGATTTCTCAAATATTCAGGCTGGCAGGCAAAAAATAAATGAATATACTGTTTAATAAATGGAACACCTATTTAAATACGAGTATCCACTAAAAATAATGTTTTATATATATATATATATATATGAGAGAGAGAGAGAGAGAGAGAGAGAGAGAAAAGGTTAAGGAGAATGAATGTAAAGTGAAAAAAAAGACAAAAAGATAATCATGACATTCTACACATACACACATCTGTGCAGACAGGCACATGGGTGCAAACACACACATACACTAAGGGGGGGGACTATCACCAATGGTAAGTGCAATAAGAAAGAAAAATTGAAAAGTATAAGCCGTCAATTGCTGAAGACAAGTGGATGAACAGGCCTGTCTATGAAAACTGGAGTTGGGATGCTGAAGGTAGCATCAATCAGCTAAATGACAAACCATTTCTTTATTAATCATATATATATATATATATATATATATATATATATATATATATATATAGTGTGTGTTGATACACAATGTATTTAATATTTGTGGATAATTAGGCAACAGTATGTTTTTCTACATTTCAATCTTTGATAATTAAATTGCAAAAAGTAAACTCAAATAAAAAATATGGGTTAGAAGAATATTCTGATATATTGTTTCACAAGATGATTTTTGTTATCTGCTAAAAGTAACAGCTCACATATAGAAAGAATAAGTTAAGAAATTTGTAATTGTATCAGTAGAAAAATGCCAATTGTTATGTAAAAAAACAAAAAAAAAAAACAAAAAAAAACAACAAAAAAAACACTTGGATTCAATTTATACAAAATCAGGCTTGTGTAAAACAAAAGCAAATTACAATGAATTAATTTTTAAATAAAAAGAATTTACAAAAAAAAATTACTATTCAAATTTAAAATAATGACTTTATCTAAGTAATAACCTTACTCTACAGCTTATATAATTTGATGATTCTACAATCTCAAACATAGAAATGTTATCTTGGCTTCAGTGAGATTGTGTTAATGATCTGTGTTCTCAATAACTGCCAAAGTCCTTCAATGCTATCATTAGTTGCTGATATAGTCAAGTATTTCTTCATGGGTATCAGTGGCTGAGTACAATTAAAGAACCAGGCTTTTGAATACTTTTATTTTCTTGACAGAAGGCACTTTCCATTTAAGATTATCCTAACCGTATTCTTACTAAATCAACTCCTATTTATTCTTGTGCCTTTCCTTGAATATTTTGATACAGAATAAAAAGAGGGTTTCCTAATTATGAACAACCTGTTCAAAGACACTTTTGTTACTAAATATGTTAAATCAGGTTTTTTAGTCAGTAATTTTTACGTTTATCTCAATTTTGTTGCTTTTTATCTTTCAATGTATTTCTAAAATCAAACAAATAATCTGAGACAGACAGAAAATATCAAATTAGAAATTCAGTTAAATTTTAAGCAGTAGACTGATCAACTTATTTGAGAAACTAATTTAAAGAAAATTGCTGTAGTTAGTAACTGCAGGAAGACTGGTAATGTGGGCTCAGCATATAACAGTTTTCTTATGAAAGCCTCAAGGAGTGCTGAGACTAAGAAGAAAGAAACCCCAGTCTAAAGAGCTTCAGTGAGCATCTTTTTGTTTATCTATACAGGCTAGAGAATTGTTTAGCCTCATGAAAAGTGAACGCTAACCTCATTAGCAAGTCTGGGTACAAAAATAAGCTCTATCTCAAGAAAAGGTATAACAATGGAAAAAGAAAACCTCATTGGATCTTTTCCAGTCCTAGATCAAAAGACATTTTCTGTGCTTCAGACAAATTATGAGTATACCAGTTCTAATAATTTATAGAATATATCAAGTATCTATTAGAATGTTGATTCCAAGTCCTTATGTCTATACACTATACTGCCTTTTGAGATGAGGAAAAATTCAAGAAGAAAGGCTTATTTATAAGTTTTATTTTTAACATTGAAAGACGTCAGATCAGTAAATATTCTATATAAAATGGACATAAAAATCAATCCCCCCCACACACACACAGGTGGATCACAATTTTTAGCTGAATTTTGATGTGAAATTTTCACTGAATCACATCCTGTTTCATTAATGCATTTTTTTTTTTAAATAAAATGTTTTCTGATACTGCTGATTCATCATCAAAACAACCTAAAAAATGTTTGTTCCATGCAAGTAATAAGTGCATCAAGGAAAGATATTATGTTTAAAATATTTGTTGTCTAAAGTAAACACTTCACTTAATAGGCTGCACATTTATTGATGTTGATATAAAGGACAGAATACCATATATGTACATATTTTACCAGTAATATATTAATTAATATACATGTGTGTATGTGTATTTAAAACAGAAGTTTGAATTGGGTTACAAACGGAAAAATATCACTACAAAGAAAAGAATACTGAATTGTTATGTAATATCAGTCCTATATGGCAGTGAATGCTGGACAATCTCCTCACAGATGAAGAAACTTGAAGCACCAGAATGTGGTTCCACCATGGACTGAACACGTGAGCAACAATGAAGTTCTAGAGACAATGGCAAAAAAAAAAAAAAAAAAAAAAAGGTCCTTATACTTAACATAAGGAAAGATAATTGAAATTTTTTGGGCACATAATGCAGAAAAAGGGCTTGGAAAATTTGATACTCACAGGAAAGATTGAAGATAAGAGGGACAGAGGAAAGGAAAGCACAACCTACCTGGCAAGCTGGAGTGAATGGATAGCAGAACAGGGTTTGAGAGAGATGGCAAAAAGACAAAAGTTATTAAGAACAACAAAGGACAGGAAATTATGGAGAGCCATGATCACTAACATCCTGAAGGGACATTGGTACATAGAAGAATCAGTTGCTATCCAAAAATAATACAAACTTGTAGTTTCTGGATATGGCAAAATAAATCACCCAAAATCTTCAGATTGAAACCAAAATAATGTCAAAAACAAAATTATTATTTCTTAATAGTTCACCCAATACAAGGCCCAAAAGCCACTCTAGGTAGAGGATTACTGAATGATATTGTAAAGAATGGTGAAGGAAGAAGAAAGAGAATATTATTAGGATGAGTAGGATATATATTGGTTGACAGTGAACTTAAAGAAACTAAATTGTAGTTACCAGAGAAACATTCCACAATGTAATGGTTCTGGGGAAGAAGGTGTCTGAGTGGACCACAAAGAGAATGCGGGTGTGATTTGCCATGCAAAATTAGAGCTGATGGCACTAAAGAACAGTAGTGAAAGACTGGCAACATTCTGTCTGTAGCATTAAGGTTGCATGGTGCATAAGCATTTTTAAATGCTGTTAAGGATGGACAGTGAGGATTGGGTAAGACCAGCCCAGATATGGCAGCAATATTCCATTCTGGGTTTTATCTGACTCTTGTAAAGAGAGCATAGCAGAAGATGTTTCTGGAACAATACAAGGAACTGACCATTCTTTCAACATCTTTAGTGATGACACAATTATATGCATTCCTCTTGAGGTCTGGAGTGAGCTTTAACTCAGGTAGGTGTTCATGGTAAAGAGCCTCTTTGAAGAGGTGACCAATCATGGGTGCAAGTTTAGGGTTTGATCAGGGTCAGATGAAATGTTACAAGTTCAGCTTTGGATGCATTGAATGATATCAGCCATTGGGCTGTGAGAGTTTCGTCAAAGGAGATCAGCTGACAGGCAATGGTCATCAAAGACATTTACAGGTACACCCATGTAGTGAGGGAATCTCATAAGTACAGAATATTATTATTTCTAGTATTTTAAAAAAAATCATTTCACCCCTAAGCAAGACAATAAAAGCCATAAAGAGGCAAGGGGTTATTAAAAGTGAAAGTAATAAAGAGGACAATAAAATAACAGGGTTCAAAGAGAAAAAGATGAAGATGGCGATGGATTTTGCATTTAAATTTTTAAAGATCATTGTTGACAGGAAAGCAAAAGGCTGAAAGAGAGTTCCAAACTATTAGCATAGACCTTATTATCTAGCAATTTTAACAGTGAAATTATGAGATCTAGCTGCCAGTCTAGTAATGCACTTAAATTTGTGAAGTCACAGTATCAAAGACAAAAGTTCATCAGATCAATTACCATGTAAATATTCATCGAAAAAGCACAGAGAAGCAATATTACA